CTCCTTTCCTTCTTAAGCTCGTTATAAATACAAGTAACAGGGACATGAATTCAAAAGTAATGAACAACACAAGAAGTTTGCCATCTTACCATACATATAGATTTTAGAAGAAAATTCCAACATCTAAGCTTAACTTCAAATTCCACGATGGAATATAATAGCTGATGATAATAGGGTACCAAAACATTCTAGGTCACGGAAATCATAGTTCTATTCACCTTCAATAAGATACTGATCCATCTAAAGTTAAAGGACATAACATTGTGCCATGTAAACCATCCGTCAGATTCCAAATTGTGATTAAGCGAGTGCATCAGCAAAGCCTGGTATACCCAAACCTTTCATAGCATGCCTCCAAAATAGATCTTATCTGACAATTAAGACATACAACAAATTATAAACATGAGTCTAGGCAATCTCTTTGTAATAAGGGACATTTGAATACTCTTCTATGGAGAGAATGAGTGACATGAAAATAATCGTTTTCCTTCGATTTCTTCATGAGCTCCATATAAGTACAAGTAAATCCTACAAATCTGGCGGATCCGCAATTTGAGGTCGGCAGCGGCAATGGATCTAGATCGAGTTTTTTGCAGGTGCTCTGGTGGCTATTAGGGGCAGATTTGGTGGCACGATCTTTGAGGCCATGACTGCTGGTGGTGCTCCTGCTATTTCGAATTTTTCCACAATGCATCTGCTTCATCTTCTCTGTAAAATGCAAATAGCTTGAATTTCTATTAAAATGGAAACTGCTTCAACTACTGTCTTCGTAGATGAAGTGGTATGGTGTGTACTTTAGGAGGTATCCAGAAGTCTATAGTTCATGAAAAACATGCCATGGACATGTGGATGTTATAAGAACAACTACTATAATGGTTTTAAGAGTAGGGAAGAGGCAGATGATGATTACTCCAAGTTCGTGATCAAAGAGAAGAGTAATCATGAAGTAGGAAAGGGTGCAAGTCAGATCATGTTGAGTACGCCGAAGAACTTTATAATCTTTGTCCAATTCATTGTCATTGTGTTGTTGTTGTTATGTTGTGTCAGGTTAGTACATTGGGCTGAAAGCTAGTTCTTTCCGGCATCATTATTTTCACTTCTCTACTTTATCTTCTCTATAAAATGCAAACTAGTTTCACTTCTAAGCAAAGTACTAGTGTATAGCTGCTACTTGGATTTAGCTCGCAGAAAGAAATTATCTCAAGAAAAATTGGGCCAAATTTGAATTTTGGGAGAGCTAAAGAGATGACACATAAAGAAAGAGACATGTACAACACTTGCTTGTGGGCCTTCTTAGAACCTACACCAACAACTAACTGAAGGGGAAGAGGGTGGTAACCAAGTATGCGTGTCATAACTAATTCTATATATTGAATATAATGGTATACAAACATTTTAGAGAAAATTAAGCTATGTTAAGTATTACGTGGTTCAAAATATTGGGTTTTGTGAACACATTTTGTGATAAAAAAATGTAACAGTGTTTCATCTTTTATGTTGACTAGACAACAAAAATAGGCTCATGTGGGTATGTAATTCACTTTTTTGGTGTCAAGCTATTGCCTGTTTATCAAGAAAGATAGAGCAACCGCAAGAAGAGGCAATGGACAGTCAGATGTCATGTGTCCTAGCCTCCTAGGCCTTTTTTCTCGACAGTGCTTGACAGTACTTTAGGAGATTTTTCGAATATGACTTGCGTAGAAATAAGAAGTTGTCAATGTGGTCGGACGTGTATGAAAATCCTAAAGATATATGTTAGATATGATTAGTGCCAAACCATTAGACTATCTAATGTCCTGGTGCAATGTACGGGCAATAGCTAGTTAGCGAAACTCCAACGTCATGCATCAAAATACCCGTAAATGTCTGGACCGTGTGGTCCGGATACTTTTGGACATCTGACGACGTGCATCAAATGTCCGCGAGACATCCAGAATCGCACAAAACGGAAGCAGAGCTGGGGGAGGTTTGCGGGCATCGGAACCTCCTCCACATAGGCCCCTTGACACCCCCTATGCACCCGAAAAACCCAAATGAAGCCCCGATTTTCTCGCTCCGTGCCTCCCCCTTGCTCTTTATAACATATTCACCATTGAAAAACTCATGATCAACTTTAGAATGATCTGGTTGAGCATTTGTGTGTGATTTAGGGGAGAACTATAAATGCATCCAAATAAGTTGAATTCAAATTTGAACTATTTTATTGGAAAACTTCATGTCCGGATTGTAGTATTTATATTTGAATTATTGTTGCATTAGAGCAATTGCACGACATGATCATAGATGGAAGATGGTATTTATCTTTAATTATGTTGAGTGCTTGGGATATAGAAAGAAATATGAGGAACATTTGGTGCATCGGGTTGAAAGGTCGCCCCTAGCAACCGTCCGCGGACACGTCCAGACATGTCTGAGGACGTTTTGTGTGTTCGTTTTAATGCACGACGTTGGAGTTGCCCTTAACATAGCATATTAGAGATAGAGATAGAGATGGTGTGAACCAACATATGGTTGGATGATTAGGAGGACAATGGCATTCTCAATTCATCAGAGATTCAAGTCTTGGACTTGACACCGCTCGCATTTTCCTAAACTTATTTCAGGCCTTCTAGCAATATGTGTTTAGTGGGAGGAGATTTTCTCGTCGACTGTGAAAGCGTCTGTCCTTCATCATTCTCAATATGATGTGCTGGTTCAGTCTCTCGAATGAGCTCACACGGATAAAGTGTGCATGTGTGCTCTTATAAAGGTAAGTGTATGTTCGTATGTATGTGTGTGTACCCACCTGTGTTAAGAAAAAAGAAATAGAATTGATTTCGATATAAATATGCATGTTTGAGACGCCTTTGGTCCCGCGCGTCACACCTACGCAGTAGTGCGTAGTTTTTTTGCAAGAAAATTTCCAATATATTCATCTTACATCATGGCAGTACAACGAACATCAAAAATAATAAAAATTATATTCAGATTCATAGACCATCTAGCGACGACTACAAGTACTGAAGCGAGCGAAAGACGCGCCGCCGTCATCGTCCCTCCCTCACTGGAGCCGGGCAAAATTTCTTGTGGTATATATTCGGGAAGTCGTCATGCTAAGGTCCCATAGAACCAGCACAGCAGAACAACAACCGTCGCCGATGAAGAGTAGTGTAGATCGGAAAGATCCAAACTGAAAAAACACAAACGTAGACGAACTATGACCAGATCTGAGCAGATCCATCAATGATAGATCCGCCGAAGACACATCTCCACACGCCCACCGATGATGCTAGACACACCACCGTAATGTGGGCTAGACGTGGAGAACCTTGTTCCATCTTCAGCGAGCCGTCGTCATGTCGTCTTTCTGAGCAGGACACGAACCCTTATAAAAATTGAAAAAACATCGAAAAACGCAGTAGTGCCTAGTTACCCTCGTGTCACTCCCTGTAGCCGTACCTCCGGTAGACAAGTTGTGCACTTCACATGCAGTTTGCGAGCTTGGTCGGTCGTCTCGTCCGGTCGATTCTCAGAGATCTTGTGTTTCAAAAGAAAAATCCATCGCTGCATGTGCGGTTCACCATCGCACGCAATCCTCGCTTCCGGCGTGGAAATCCACCAAAAATGACCTGTCGACTCATCAAACAAGACAAAACTAAAAAAGATACTATTTCCATAGAGAAATATAAGAGTGTCAACTCATCGATAAGAGAGGGAGTACTAATCAAGATGCGCGCGCGAGAACGGACGTCGGATGAAAGCGGCGGTCGTGTTATTGCCTGCTGTACAAACAGACATACTGTATGTTTTTAGTACTAATGTACAAACATATTTTCCGGATAAATATGTCTGGTATGTGATGGGAAATACCTCTTAGTTCCTGGGTGCGTGTATAGCTATACACCCAGGAATTAAAAAAAACAAAGTCAAAATAGTTCAGAAGTTTTTAAACTTTGACTTTTTTATTTTGCACTAGTATATGACTTTTCGCCAACAAAAACACACAGTCAACTTCAGAGAAAAAAATATTTTTTGTCAAAATATTGTGAATAGTGTCTTGTATATAGCAATAATTTGTGTTTTCCACCTCCGAAGTCAACCCCGGGTTTTTATTGGTGAAAACTTACATACTAGTGCAAAAAAAATTCAAGTTTATTAAAAAACTTCTGAATTTTTTGACCTTTTTTGTATTATTAATTATTATTTTCCATTTCCTAGGTGTATATACACCCAGAAACCAAAAGTCCGCGCCCGGTATGTGATGGAGTATACTACAACCTCTGATGTTTTCTTGTTTTGTTTGGGGCATAAAAAACGTCTTACATTTTTTCACGGAAGGAGTACATCACATGTGCCAGGACTATAATTTTGTTTGGTACATTAATTTGAACGGATGCCTGTCTTCAACCCTGATAGATCATCATAGGAGAACCAAGATGACGTCTCTATGCTTGCCAAATTGCACGGGAAAAGTCCAGTGTCCAGATAATGACAAGAAGTCGTGTCAAGTTATTTTCTTAGCTGATTGTGATCGGGTTAGAAAAGATAGGGAGGAAGTGAGCGAAGTCACGGTTCACGAACGACCATCGGTGAAAGAGTGAAAGTGACTGCAAAATATTGCAATTTTTTTAAAGAATTACCGGAACAAAATTACAAACATACACGTCTCTTACCACAGCAAGTTAGGCACCAACACGTGTTTTTTACCTATTCTCTCTCTTCCTTGCTTTTTTCACCTAGCTACCTATTCTTTTTTTAAGCATCAGTACAGACACAAGCGCTCATATACACGCGCATACACTCACCCCTATGAATGCACACACGCACACCCTACCCCTATGAGCATCTCCGAGAGACTGAGCCGGCATATCATCTTGAGATTTACGAAGTCACCGTAGACGCCTCGTCGTCGACGGGAACGTCTCCTCCCACTGAAAGCGTATCGCCGGAAATCTCGAAATAAATCCAGAAATAATGCGAGCACCAGGATTTAAACCCTGATAGGTTGGGGATACCACTGTTCACCTAACCAACTCAACCACAGATTGATTCGCACCTACTCTCTTATTTGCATTGTTTGAAGAAGAGACTTTTTTTTTACTACTAAGCAAAAAATAATTTAAACCTCGTTGAGTTCCTCCCCGTTGAACTGGTACACGTCGCTCTTGCTGACGGCGACGAAGAGCGGCTCCTTCTTCCTGGTGGCCAGCCCGAAGGTCTCCTCCACGCTCACGTCCTCGGCGCGCACGCCGGCGGGCAGCGCCCACTCGAAGTGGTACAGCAGGCTGGCCAGCGAGACCTGCACGGTGGCCAGCGCGAACGTGTACCCGGGGCACCCCCTCCGCCCGCCGCCGAACGGCAGCAGCTTGTAGTCCGGGTCCTTGAGGTCGATCTCGCCGCCGGCGCCGGCCACCTCGAACCGCTCCGGCGAGTACTCCAGCGGGTCCTCCCAGATCTCCGGGTCCCGGCCCATGGCGAAGGTGTTGATGAAGACGCGGGTCTTGGCCGGGATGTCGTAGCCGCCCAGCGTGCACGCGGCCACGGTCTCCCGCGGCACCAGCAGCGGCACTGCCGGGTGCAGCCGGAACGTCTCCTTGATGATGGCGCGCATGTAGTGGAGCTCCGCCAGGTCCGACTCCTCCACCCGGCCCTTGCCGCCCACCACCCGCCGGACCTCCTCCTGCGCCTTTTGCAGGATGCGCGGGTGGCGCACCAGCTCCGTCATCACCCACTCCAGCGTCGCAAACGTCGTGTCCGTGCCGGCGACGAACATGTCCTGGAAGGAAACCACGCCATAGTGAATAATATTGGTGAGCAGATCAGAACCAACGACAAATTGTCAAGACTCGAACACGAAAAATATTGGAGCTACAAAGATGATTCGTTAATCGTTAGTGCATGTCTCTATCCATAGCTGCCCTATCATATTTTTCTCCTGGCGATCGAGAAAGAATGAGTGGCCTTACCAGGACGAGGGCTTTGAGGTTGTCGTCGGTGAGCGGGACCTCGAGGTCGGGCGACTTCTGGACGCGGAGGAGCACGTCGACGAAGTCCTCGTCGCGGTCGCCGGGGAGGCGCTGGTGCTTGCCGCTCACGTGCTCCTCGACGATGTCGTCGCAGACCTCGCGGAGGTCCGCGAGGCAGCTCTTCAGCCGGCGGCGGAGGCCCGTGACGGTGCTCGCGAAGGGCTCGAGCTCAGGGAAGAAGTCCCCGATGGTGAACCCGGCGAAGAGGTCCTGGGCCTCGGCGAGCACCGCGGCGAGCTTGTCGTCCTTGCCGTGCGGGAAGCGGCGGCCGAAGGCCACGCGGCAGAGCACGTCGTTGGCGAGGTTGAGGAAGCACTCGCTGAGGTCAACGGGCGTCCCCGGCGCGGTGTTCTTGGTGAGGTGCGCGAGCAGGCGGCGCAGCTCCTTGCCCCGGACGCTGCCGTAGGTGGCGACGCGGCGCGCCGAGAGGAGCTCGGAGACGACCACCCGCCGCGCCATGCGGTGGTACGGCCCGGCCGGTGCGAAGGTCACGTCGGAGCACCCGAACGAGAGGAACTGGCCGGAGAGGAGGTGGGGGCGGGACGCCATGGCGGCGTCGTTGGAGGTGAGCGCGGCGCGGGCCAGGTCGGGCTTGGAGATCACCACGGCCGGGACGCTGCCGAGCCGGAGCCGGAGCAGCGGGGCGCGCATGGTCTTGGCCAGCTCCGCCAGCGCGTGGTGGGGCATGTCCGTCAGCAGGTGGAGGTGGCCGATCACGGGCCACCCGGGCGGCGCCGGCGGGAGCCGCTGCCTCGGCGACCGGCTCCGCGTCGTGCGGTAGACGTACGCGGCCGAGAGGACGAAGAGGGCGATGGACACGTAGGAGACAAGGTTGAGCTCCATCTCCATGATGCGATTAGATTATCTCCTTGTTGCCTCTCTCTGCTAGGTAGAGGGCTTGAGATATGGAATGGTTTATGGTTATGTGTGTGTGTATGTGGTGCTTTTTATAGTGCCACCAGCGTGATCTGACCGGATGCTGGCAACAAAAAGCATCTAACCATGAAACTTTGCGTTTGCGTCGTCGGAACGGGCCATACAACCCACGTTTCCGCGTTCCGTCGGGACGGTAGCCCCCACCGACAAGCGGCCCGACGATCGTCACCTTCTACGTTCATATATCATGCAGAATTTGGCCATCTCCTGGTTGTTGCGCCCGGGCACGACTGCTCTTTGTATCTGCACCGGCACAAGCCGTCGGTCCATCCATGGCGCCTGTTAAAGTGTGGTGTTTCATCACACAAGTGATACACTAATCAAACCACATCATAGTTTCGATGGTTGTACTGTTGCCTATCCCTCTTTACTTTTATTTTTTATGGTAATACACGTTTCATTTATATCATAAGGAATATGATACAAGTCACGTACATACCGACCTGATAAAATTGAACAAATTGCAGAATGTAGACCTTTGCACAAAGAAACACCAACCAAAAAGTAAAACTATGAACAAGACTGAAGAAAACCTCAGAGCTTGACACCAACGCCTGTCACCTGCCTCTGGCATCACAGCAGCCACCAAAGGAAAAAAAATGATGGATCACCTCTATACCCGAACTCGACGTGGCTCCATCGCTGATATGCAGCTTTGCGGACCTACAAGGTGGCTCGCCAAAGGCGAAACCATTACCGTTGAACAAATCAGATCGGGGCAACACCCCGGACACGCCATCGAACTCCAGATATAGCAACCCCACACGACTAAGACGTCGGAGAAGGAAACCATACATGTCATCCACGTACCATGAACCCAGCACATGATCCACCATCTTCCAAATGCCGCCGATGCAAACGACAATCTGCATCTGCTTTTGGACTACCTCCCAAGTTTCGCCGGTGCTGGAGCAAACGTTGTCGCAACGACGGAGCCCGAGGACACAAGTCCACCACAAGGATGCCGCCACCGCTGTACCACCCTTGCTTGAACAGGCTGGATTCCAAATCCATCCCCAACGATAGGACCGATTGTCTTGTCGGAGTAGGATATGAAGAAACTTTGTTGAGCGCCGCCATCGCCGTCGCCGGAGCCAAGACGATGAACAACCTAAAAGCTAAGCAACGTTGGCCTAAAACTATCCACACGCGTGGATCCGGCGATCCTCCTCACCACCGAGAGCCGTCAGAGGGCGGCGGCAAAAGAAGTGCTCCGCAAGGGCATGCGAGACCGCCTTTCTTTCCTCCGCTAGAGTGTTGTATCTTTTTTTTAGGGTGCTAGAGTGTTGTATCTGGTTCGCGTATTCGCGGGTGTAAGGTTGTGTGCAAAAATGCTACACCTACATAACTTTTTTACGTACACTACGCAATCTTCCTTCCGCATAACTAAACGCCCCCCTCCCCCCCTTTGATTTTCAGGGTGGGTCCTTGTAACGCCCCGTATGTAACTTGCCATATTTGTATTCCAACTCTTGCCATTTCCGGCACTAAGTTATGATATTCCTTGTTGTTGGGTTTTGTCTTCGTTTTGCATTTTGTCCATGTCATGCATCTCATATCATGTCATCATGTGCATCGCATTTGCATACGTGTTCGTCTCATACATCCGAGCATTTTCCCCGTTCTCTGTTTTGCATTCCGGCACTCCTATGTCCTCCGGTGTCCCCTTTTGCCTCTTTTCGTGTGCGGGTGTTAAATGTTCTTGGATTTGACCGAGACTTGCCAAGAGGCTTTGGTTTACTACCGGTAGTCCGCCTGTCAAGTTTCGTGCCATTTGGAAATCGTTTGATACTCCAACGGTTAACCGAGGAACCGTAAAGGCCTCGTGTGAGTTGCAGCCCAACACCTCTCCAAAGTGGTCCAAAACCCACCAAAACCCCCTCCATCCTCTCGGTCATTCGATCACGATCGCGTGGCCGAAAACCGTGCTCCATTTGGAGTCTCCTAGCTCCTTCTATCTATAAATAGGTGCATCCCCCGAAATTTGCGGGTGAAACCCTAGCATTTTTTTCCCTCGCCGCCGCCGGACGAAATCGCCACCGCCGGACATGTCCGCCCCGCTTCCCCCGTCCAACCGCGCGCCGCCTCATGGCGAGCCGCGCCCCACATCGCCGCCGGCCCGCCCGAGCCCGGGTCGGGCCCCCGAGGCCCAAGTCGACCGCCGCCCGGTCCACGCGACTCCGCCGCCACCCGCCGCCCGCGTGCGCCTCCGCCCACATCGCCGCGCCGCCTCGCCGGCCCGCCATCG